AGAAGAATGCACAGGATCTAAACTGTAACTGCTGGTATGTCAGAGTCATCCAAGTGCAGAAGATCCAAGAAAGTGACCTTTCCCTTATTCTTTTAGACCTGTATGAAGTTTCATTTCCAGAGTTCTCCCAAAGGTTTATTCTGAACCTCCTGCATAGTTTCCTCTGCAATGGACCTGATTTCTCTGTGCAAGTCTTCAATGCTCTTTGAAGCATCCACTGTCTGTTTCCAAGACAACAAAAATACAGGATAGATAACAGAGAATACAGAAATGTGTTACTGGACACCAACAAATGAGAAAAACCTTGTTAACATCTGCTTATCCCTCCATTACTCAGTATTTACTCTTCCTGAGTAGTGAAATGAGCTAATTACACCTCTCTGCAGTTTCTGGAGTGGATTTGGGAGAAATCAATATATGTAGGAACAGACATTTAAGTAGATGTGAGGGTGGGTGAAGGGAAACAGAAGAAGCTGCTGCTGCATGTTGTTTGCTGGCAGTCTCCAGGGTGTGTGACACAGGCAGGTAAGATAGGGATTCATCTCAGGTGCAAAAAGAGCTGACCAGGTTCTCCTGGAACGGGGAAGTGCCCTCTCTGCCACATCTCACAGTGCCCTTGGCTGGTCCCCAACATGTCCCACTGAGCAGAAGTGGGAAGGGGCAGCACAGGCATGTGACAGGCAAAATTTGGGAGCTGTCACTAGACACCCCCACCTCAGGCCATGACCAGCCCATTAGAGTTAATTCCTTACCTTCCAGTTTAGGGTCTTGTCCTTCATAAGGCAATAGAAGGACTGAAGAACTTTCTCTTGGAAGGAGCTGGTCTCATAACGTTCATGTCCAAAGTTCCCTCGTTCTGCTGCTTCTTCCGGGCTTAACTGAAGGAACAGGATCAGGTCTGGCTTTGGGAGTCCAACATCAGGCTGTTTGCACCAGTCCAGGCAGAAGTTCTGTCCCAAGCAAAGACAACCGAGTTTGAGGTGAGGCACAAAGACAGGAAAGCAGCAGGTTGGCTGGAGAGTGAGATGGGAAAGGAACAGCCAAGGACAGCAGGAATTGCAACCCAAAACACTCAGCACAGGCTACAACCTGACAAGATGATATCCCAGCTTACCCTGTGGGAATTGTCCTGGTCATATGGGGATGAGCAGGTTTTGTCAGGTGTTCTGCACTTCTTGTGCCTATTTAAGTTGAAGAGGGTGAAAGCTTTTCATGCCTCTTCTGCAGATCCCATCTGAGCTCTACCAAGGTACATTCTGAGCCTCCACTCAGACATTACCACTCCAAAACTTGCTCAGTCCAAAAGAAAGCTGCTCCCAAACAGAACCACCACACAGCTGCAATGCAGATCTCTGAGTCCATGGAGGCTCATTTCCAATACTCACCTACTCAGGAATTTCAGCCCAGACACAACAGATGCAGTTTTCCAGCTTTTGGATTTTGTTGACAGGTCTGAAGACTTTCATCAGGGCTCGTGAATCCATGATATGGGTGAGACTACAGAGTCCACTTACTGCTCATCCACATCTTAAATCCCTCTAAAAGGAGCTGGCACATCTGCCCTCCAGTTTCTCTCCAGATGTTCTGTATCCTGGTAGTCTGGGTATTTTGTGGATGTATGTGCAGTGGGTTTTTTCAATCCCATGAGGCAGTAAGAGAAGCTGGAACTGCCACAACATCTTGGGTATGAGCTCTGGCAGCCAGTAGATTTTTATGTTAGGTATGGGCATCAACATCTCCCTTTCTTCTAGGAATGCTTCTTGAGTGAAAAGCATGCCAAACTCCATTCTTTTAAGAAGCAGAGGAGGTCCCTTCCAGCAGCAAAGGATGCCATCTCTGCTTCCCAATGGTTGAGCCCTGCAGGTCACCAGCTACATTCAAAGAAATGTGGACACTTATAGACACCCTTTTTCCCCCACCAGAAAGTAGCAGAACATTCCTTGCTGTGCCCATGTGGATTTGGGATCGTTATTTTGGGGTGACTCAGCTCATGTTACACATCCTGGCTCTTAATTTGGGGCTTTTGCAGACACCTGATTAGCACCTAAATGCTTCAATGCATCTGTCTCAGGGTTAAGCCCCAAGCTACACAATGTCCAGGAAAGCAGGAGGGTGGAAGAAGATGCAAGTATGAGAACCTGGGGGCCCAGGATCTCCTCAGTCCTTCCAGGAAGCAGGGAAAGGCTTGGGCAAGAATGAATGTAGGCCACAGCTGGTGCTGCAGGCATGGCTGGAGCTTCTGTGAGCACAGGATACTCTTAGAGGATTGATGGCTGCTCAGCAGGAATGGGACACATCTAAAGGAGTGGGAGAAGAGGGCCTGTACAGAATGGCTCAAAGGAAGACTGACAGAGCTGACTTGTTCTGAAAGCAGAGACAGGCCAAAAGACACAACTGGAAATCCAGAAATTCAGGCTAAGTGAAGAAAATCCCTTTTACTCTGAAAGTGAGCAGAGAACCCAGAAAGGAATGGATGTACATCCCTGAAGATACTCAAACCTTGGCTGGATGTAGGCTCAAGCAGCCTGCTTATGTCAGCCCTGCTGGAGGCTGGGCTTTGTGAATTCCACACGTCCCTTCTGATGTACGTGCTTCTGTTCTGCAAATGTGTGGGCCAGTAGCCTGAGCAAGTACAGAGAGTCTTTAATAAACTCCCAGAATCACTCTCCAGGGTCACACAGGTCAGCTTCCAGTCCAGCATTCTGTCCAAAGTTTTTTTTTGTCTTACAAGAAGTCAGCAAACAAGTTTCTCTGCTTGTTCTGGGGAAGGGCAGACCCATGTTAATATCTGAGCTGAAACTTCCATCCCTCATTTCCAATCCTCATTTCCCAGAAGAAGAATAGCCCCTGGGCCATTCACACCAACAGCCTCTATCTGGAGCTGTTTCCTCAAACAGAGAGGGACAGGGGCTGCTGCAGGTCTCACTCACCTCTTTGGCACTTGTGAAGGCCACTCCAGAGAAGGCGTATCTGTCAACCACAACCGTGACCCCTTGATGTAGTTTCTCTTTCATCATTGGTCTGAAACCATGTGGGAAATAAAATAATAAAGTTGCATTCCGTTATAGTGACAGAAATGAAAAGAGTTCATCTAAAACTGCAAGTATGTTGTCATTAAGGGAGATCACTGGCAGGGACAGCTGTGATGCAGATGGCAGGTGAAGTGCTGTTTGTATTCTTCACCAGGCATTGACCAAATACCCTTCCACGACACCCAAACTCAGGGTGCCAAGCACTAGGCACTGCTCTAGACAGCTCCAGGGCTTACAGGCAAGATCACAGATGAGCTATACTGATATGGACAGCTTAGTCCTCTCCCCTTTTTACATGGTGCAGTAGATTTTGTGATACACTCTGCCACCTTTATTCATGATAGTTCTTCTTAGAGCTCACTCATCTGCCTTCTGTTCTCCCAGCTCAACTGGCACTACCACTACAGCAGAGCCAGTAAAGCTTTTCTGTAAAATGAGAACATTTTGAAATCTGTATTTCCAGGTAACAGGAAGAGCCAACACTGATTTCCTCACATTCACACACAGATTTTGTGACTAAAGCAAGCACAGCCAGTTATGGCTGAACATAGCCTGTGGCTACAGGAAAAATTTGGGCACAATTCCTTAAGCACTGTCACTCACAAGGACTGTCTGGTGAAGCAAGACATCTTCAGGGGAGAGAGTAAATTCACATTCTAAGCTGGTTCAGTCTCAGCTCCCCAATTTTTTAATCCAGTACAGCACAGGAGTTGGAAATAAGGCACTAATGATTAAAAAAAAAAACCCAAAAACAACGAACTGTAGGATCTGATCCAAGATTACAAGGGCTGAGTTACATGGGATATTGGGAAGAAACTGTTCCCTGAGAGGGTGGTTAGGCCTGGCACAAGTTGGCCAGAGAAGCTGTGGCTGCCCCATCCCTGGAAGTGTTCAAGACCAGGTTGGACGGGGCTTGGAGCAACCTGGGCTAGTGGAAGGTGTCCCTGCCCATGGCAGAGGGGTGGAACTGGCTGGGCTTTAAAGTCCCTCCTAAGCCAAACCATTCTGTGACTCTGTGAATAAGTCCAAAGCTGTAAGAGCCCTTAAGACACCATTTCCAGCCCATTTTCCTGTCTAAACAGGATCACATTCTTGTACTTTCTGTACCCACTGCAAGCTCAAACCCCGTAGGATTCAACACAAGACATCTTTCTTTTACAACTGAACATCATCTTTACACGTGTTCCCAGCGGTTGGCAGAGAAGAGCAGGTGAATGGTGTGGTCCTCCAGGTTCTTCTCCCTCCCCAGGTAGGAGCTGATCAGCTGCCCAATCTCAGTGGTTCTGTCTGTAGGAAAGAGGGAAGATACAAAGGCTGTCCTAAATTGCTCTTCCCAGATGGGTGTCCATCTGTCTGGGGAGGTCTGTCTGTCACGGATGGGAGACTGGTCTGACCAGGGCAGGGTCTATCTGTCTGTCATGGATGGTGCGAGGTCAGTGCATCCAGGGTGGTTGTCTGTCCAAGGTGAGGGGGATGTTTATTTGTCACAGGCGGGAGAAGGTCAGTCCGTAAGGGGCTGGGGATCTACCCGCCTGTGACAGGCTGGGGAGAGGCGGTCGGTCTATCCAGGACGAGAGTCTGTCTGTCCGGGATGGGTCTATCGGTCAGGGCTGGGGGCGGTCCCTCTGTCCAGACGTGGGGGTCAGCCCAGAGCTGGGGTGCTCCGCGAGAGCGTCCGGACGGCACCCAGCCGTCCCTCCCCGGGGCTCACCCCAGCCCTACCGTACCCGGGAAGCGGAGGAGGTCGGCGCGGTGCCCGGCGTCCCTCAGGGCCTCCACGAGCCGCCGGCCCTGCGTGCTCTTCCCGGCGCGGTCCACGCCCTCCAGCACGATCAGCGCCCCGCGCCGCGCCGCCATCGCCGCGCGCGCTCCGCGCCGCCGCGCCGCCCCTTCCGCCGCGCCCGCCAATCCCCGCCCGGGCCGCCCCTCATGAATATGCAGCGCGGGCGGCCCCGGCGGCCAATGGGCGGCGCGCGGGCCGTGAATACGGGATGAGGCCGCGGGCCTTGTCATGCGGGCCCGGCGGGCGGCGGGGAGCGGCGCGCGGGCCGCAAGATGGCGACTGCCATGTACCTGGAGCACTACCTGGACAGTGAGCGCGGGGCGGGGGCGGCCGAGGGGCCGGGGCGGGGGCGGCGGGATTGGGGCGGGGGCGGCGGCGGCAGCGCGGGAATTAAAACTGCGCCACGGGCAGCGTGGCGGGGTGAGGGGTGGGGGGGGTGGGTGACACTGTGATTGCGTCATCGGCCTGCGCCGGGGTACGTCACAGGTGCGCGGTGGGGAGGGGGATCGTGAGGCCATGGCGGCTGTGGGGGTCAGCAAGGCGGGGGTCCCGCTCTGCCCTCAGGTGGGCCGCTGGTGCCGGCCCAGTGCCCAGTGTCTAGGCAGGTGCTCAAGCGCTGCTGAGGTGAAAGGGCGGCTCACGGTACGTGATTCACAGGATGGGTTGTGTTGGGAAGGACGTAAAAACTCATCTCCACTTCCTGCCATGGGCAGGGACACCTTCCATCGAGAGGGCTGCTCAGAGTATTTAGTAGCATTTTTCTTGCAGGTATTGAGAATCTGCCATGCGAGCTGCAGAGGAATTTCCAGCTGATGCGGGAGCTGGATCAGAGAACAGAAGGTAGGTGCAGGTATTTTGGCAAGCAAAGCCAAGAGAGCTTGGCATGAGGGATGGGGAAAGCCCAGTGGAGGCTGGGCTTTAGAGGACGTGTCTCTCCTCTACTGCTGTTCCTTCTCTCATTCTGAGTGTTCTTCAGTGTTTATTTCTTTCCTGTGAGAATACAGCTCACATCGCAGGGCTTGATTTTGTTTCCAGTTTAAATTCATAGCTCTGTGATCATTGTACTCAGTGGCCACTTGGGCGGCCTTCCTTCCACGTATTTTCCATATCTAACAAGTTCTAGATTTCTGTGGGCCTTGCAGGACAATTTTTTCCTTCCTTTTTGAAGTCTTTGTTGGTGTCTGGCTGCACATTAGTTATTTTCATTTTGCACCATCAGAATAGTAGGTGTGCAACAAATAAAATGTTCTGCATGTGGGAAGAGAGGCTGAAACTTGCGAATCTATGGGTTCGGTTTGTGATCTTAACTGTGAATTAGCTGTAAGTTAACTTCTGAATTAGCTGTGGAACGCTTGAGAAAGCAGAATCACACCACAAGTGTCAAAGAGTGAACACCTTTAACTTAACTGGTTTTGTTTTTTAAAAAGGAAAATGCATTAAGGAATTGAGGGGAGAGAAAGAGCTGTCAGGAGGGGTCTCTTTGATTGGTTGGCATTTAAGGAAAAAAAGTGAGGAACACCCACGGAACTGATGGCTCTTAAGAGAGGCTGCTGGGAGTTTCTTCTCTGCCTGAGACCTGGCCTATAGCTGGCCAGTTCTGAGAATTGACAGTACTTTTGACCACTGAAAAGTGAGATTACCTTAGTGAATATCACCTTTTAAACCTAACCCCAGGAGTTTCTGTCTGTCCTTCTTTCCGGCCTTGAAAGGTAACAGAGCTTTACTGCAGCTGCTCGTCCTTCCCTCCCGCTCCCGGCCTGGAGGGAGGGGGCTGAGCTGGACTCCAGTGGCTCCCAGGTGGGGAATGGAGGCTGCAGGGGCTCAGCCCCAGGCTGGGCCAGGCTGTGCTGGCTTCTCCCAGGAAGCCTCCAGGTCCTGAACCAGCAGGGTGGCCAAAGCTCTTCCCAGGGGGCCCCTGATGGAACCATCTGCTCCTTCTCTGCCTCTGCTGGGCTGAGAGAGACAGACACCTGAAATCCAACACCATGAATACCTGCTGTGGCTTGGGCCAGATTTAAACCCTCTCACTACCCAGATGAGACCTACAGATTTAATCCCTTTCCAGAGAGAGGAAAGTGAGAGTGATCAACATGTAAAGAGACAACATAAACCATCAAAGTCAGTAAAAGAAGGAGTCAAGCCTCAAATGGAAAGAGAATGAGGAGATGCTTTAATAAGCTGAAATATTCTTTAGGTAAGGCTATGGAGATGGACAATAATGTTCTGAAAAACTCCTTTAATTCATGAAAGAGTATTTTGGGGGCAATGAAGTATTTCAAAGTGTAGATCTGAGCAAAGGTATCCATTGATGAAGCTGAGCAGTTGGTGGAGTAGCTGTGATCTCATGAGATGCTGGAACAGAGAGAGAAGTGAGAGTTGATGGAAGACCCTTGGCCCCCAGGGAGAAAAGGAGAAAACCTCTGTTCGCAGAGATGCTCACACAGACAGATGAAGAGAACCTTTGCCTTTGAATAACTCATCCTTAAAATGACACCCCTTGAGTTCATGGGCCATGAACACACCTCAGAGTGGTGTGAAAATGGGAGGAGGGTATGATGGCAGAGATTTTTAAAAAAAACCAACAAAACAAACTGTGCCATCAGGGGAATGAAAATCTATGAGATAACTGTTTTCTTGTGGAGAACTCTCCATGGAATGACAAGAGAGAACTCCTCTCTCTACAAAGACTGATGAAAAGACTGTTGTGTAGTTGGGACTCCTTTAACCACCAGTTTTGTCTCTGTGTTGTCAGTTGGGCAAGGGAAAAGGTGGGGTGGGGAGAAGAGGTTTCTGGAGGTTTTATTCTGGTTTCTTATTCTTGTAGTTCTGTTAATAAACTTTCTTCATTCCTTTTAAGTTTTAAGCCTGTTTTAACCTTCTCCTAATCAATATCTCACAGCAAGAAATGAGTATGTTTTCTGGTGATTTTTAGCTAGTGCTTTAAAACCCCCACATTATTTTGTGTGTTGGTGAGGAAACTAAATTGGCAAATTTAAACTACTACAGTCTCCTAAGTGGAAACAGAAAAACAAGAATACCTGCTTTTTTTTCAGACAAGAAAGCAGAGATCGACAGCCTGGCAGCAGCATACATTGAGTCTGTGAAGAACATGTTGCCTGAGGAGAGAGTGGAGCACCTGAGGAAGATCCAGAGTGCCTACAGCAAGTGTAAAGAGTACAGTGATGACAAAGTGCAGCTGGCCATGCAGACCTATGAGATGGTGAGCCATGAGCCATGGAAGAACAGGCATCATCTGGAATGGTGCATGTGGAGATGCTTCACAGTGTCAGCTTTCCCTGACTTTTTTTTTTTTTTTCTTAAATTTCTTGTCAAAACAAATTATTAGTCCTCATGCTTCTGTTTCTCACTGTTGCCTCCCCAAAAAGCTTTCTCCTTAGGTACCAGGTTTCCATTTTGCTGAAAAATTAGTGAGTTTATCCCCCTTGGGGGTGGCTTTATCAGTAGTAACTTGTTTGCTGTGTGATAATTTGTGCCAGCAAATTTACCTCACTGCCTCCTCCCCAGCAGCTCTCTGTCACTGATAATTTCTTTGGGGCACACTTAGTTGAAAGCAAAATTTTTTTTTAAGCCAACTGCTGTACTATGTTGTGGAGGAACAGCAGGAATTCTGCTCTGTTGCCTTTTATTTGACATCAAAATTTCCTCAATGGACCTTGGGAGAAAATCCTGTTTCTTAAGATGCAGCTTTCCACTTTTTTTTTTTTTCCTGTCCCTGTCCCTTGAATAATTCTAATTTTCTCATGTTTTACCCCATGGTTAAAAGTTGAGTGAGGGGAATCCTTTTGACTGTACTAAGTGTTTGTTGTCCAGCGTGCAGAGATGCTTTGGGTTTTGCTATAGCTGCAGTAGATATTTGATTGCCATCAAACACTGTAAAAAAGGAAATTATGTGCCAGGAATATCGATGCCCTAGATAACTAGTGGACCCATTTAATGACAAAGTATTGCTGCAGCACAGCTGGGGGTTGGTGGCTTAAAATCCCTGTTCTGAAAATCACTTCATGGCAGCCAGGGTAGTACAAGGTACTTAGTTAATGTGTTACTTGATATTGAGGATAGTCAGCCTCTGTATTTATTGTTAAAATTATTTCATTCACATGACATTGGAGTACCAGGGGAAGAACCCTAACTGCTCTACTCGACACATTTCAAGGACTATCTTTGAATTTTGGAAATTTCAGGGATAAAACAGTTATTTTTAGTATCTCTCATCTTGTTTTGTTCTGAAACTCATTAGTCTGAGTTGCTTTGACTCTCCTTTATGTTGCCTCCCTTTTCCTTCCTTTCTGCATTCTTATGGAGGGACTGGGTTCTTGTGCTTTTGCCTCCCTTGTTCCCTTTGTGTGTGCCATTTCCCTTTTCCCAGCCTGTACCCCTTCCCTGCCTTGCTCTGCAGTACCACACTGTTCATGCTGATAACAGACAAGTTTTAGCCCTTCCTGTTTTCATTTGGGGCTCTTTTTTTGTGTGTTTCTTTCTAATTCAGTTTGTGGTTTCCTCTTGGTGCAGGTGGATAAGCACATCCGCCGGCTGGATGCAGACTTGGCACGGTTTGAAGCTGATCTCAAAGATAAACTGGAAGGCAGCAACTTTGAAACCCCTGGATCCCGAAGCCTGAAAAGTGGGTTAATTTTACACAGTTGAGAGCCTTTTCCAGCACTTAGAATATCAAGCCAGGAAGGCTGAGATGTAAAATAGGCTGTTGTTTCTGGAGGAAGGAAAGAAGTGTGCCATTCTCTGTTTTTAGTGCTCTTCAAAATGTTTACCATGGGCAAGAGATGAAAAATGTGGTGCTGGGATCAAACTTACTGTCACTACTGTTTCACAGATCATCCTGAGGTTGTTAGTGGTTCTGAGGAGGGTGCTGTGCCAAAACTGCACTGGTGTAACAGTCTTAGTTTCAGGAAAAACTAGGAATTAAAAGAAGATAACCAGTTTCTCTTGTGTATACTGAAATATTGTGTGATCACAGTGACATTTGAATGTGGATTCAGCAGCACAGCACAGCTTTATGCCTTTGAACAATGAAATAAGGTGTAAGAGCAAGGAGATGGAGATGAAAGTTATGTTAGTTATTGAGTAATCTATTAACTGTGCTTAAAAATAGACTGAGATTAAAAAAAAAAAATACTGCAAGCCTAATCAAGTGTGATGCTGTTTATGACCTGTGCTATTGCCAAAGCTGCAAACACGAGAGTTTGGTCCTCAGTTGTTATCAATTTGGTGTATTTGTGGCTTAAAAATGCATTTCAGCCAGCATATTCAATTACATATATAATAAGGATTATTCAATTACATATGAGATAGGGATTTCAGGACAGTAACTGCATCAAAAGAACAACAGCTGGGGAATTTTCTGCTGCTCAGGCTGAAATGATGGGGTTGTTTTTCCTTTCTAGAGGGACGAAGTCAGAAAGACAAAAGGAGCTCTCGTGGTCGAGGCAGGAGAACATCTGAAGAAGATACACCAAAGAAAAAGAAGCTCAAAGGAGGGTAAGGCAGAGCCAGGCACAACTCCAGGGCCTTGGGCTTGACACTTCATGAATTTTCCACAGGCTCATATTACCCTATTTATGACTCATGTCCGGATGGCGAGCAGTGTTAAGAGTGTTCTGGTCTTACTCCATTTCATTAATGTCCTGCTTAGGACAGGCCAGCATTGTTAATTAACTCTGTGGAAGCTCAGCATGCTTGGAACACTCTGACTGGAAGGACAAGATCAGCCTCCCTGTTGCTGTTGGCAAGCTGGGAGAAAATAGCTTTGATTTTTCTCAAAGGGCTATTTTTAACAGTTGCTTGCAGTCTTGATGGTAAAAGAAACTCACTTGCCCATCAGGACAGAAACTGATGTGCTGCTGTTCTAGAAGTCTTTGAAAATTTTGGGGGTTGTTTTCAAAGGGTTGTATCCTAGGTGACCTTGAATAATCTGATCTGGTTTTGAGAGGGAAGGAGGAAAGCATGTCCCCTCGCTGAGATGGGATTTATATTAAAGGGGCTCAGTTTATTCTGATATTTTCAGTTGGCTAAATGGAGGGGCAGGTAACTAAAAGTGGACTGCTGTGGACTGCTACTGGCATGTCAGCACATCCCTGTCAGGGTAAGAGGGTTCACTCATGCCTGACAATGAGAAAAAATGTATATTGAAACAGGTTGGGGAAAAACCCCAAACAGGATATTCTACCCTCCAGGGTTATTCTACCCACAGTCAGGAATGATCTGTATGATCATTTAGTTACTTTGTTCATGTCATCTGTAAATCCCTTTCTTGATCATTTCTGGCCATACTGTGTTTGATCCAAACTACCTTATGATTTTAATTACTGGATTGTGGTAATGTAACACAAACTCTAAAACAGGGTCAGTGTGGTTTAGGGAAGATACTGTAAAACACTGATTTTCCCAAGTAGATTTAGATCTTGGAAACACCAAATCCCAGCATGGTTTGGGTTTGGAGTGACCTTAAAGACCATCCCATTCCAGCCCTTGCAGTGGGCAGGGACACCTTCCACTAGCCTGGGTTGTTCCAAGACTGGCCATAAACACTTCAGGGTGGGGGAGCCACAGCTTTTCCAGGCAACCTGTGCCAGGGCCTTCCTACCCCCACAGGGAAGAATTCCTTCCCAGTATCCCATCTAACCCTGCCCTCTGGCAGTGGGAAGCCATGCCCTTTTAACACAGTGTTGTCTGCAGCTGACAAGTGTATTGTCCTGACTCTGTCCTTGCCCACAGGTCTGAGTTTGCTGATACCATTCTGTCAGTGCATCCCTCAGATGTCCTGGATATGCCGGTGGATCCCAATGAGCCCACCTACTGCCTGTGTCACCAGGTGTCCTATGGGGAGATGATTGGCTGTGACAACCCAGATGTAAGCACTTGAGAGATTATTGATTTTTCAGATGTTTGTTGCCTCCCAACCCTGTACAATCCAAGGAGGGGGTCCTTGCTCAGTTAGCTCATACCAAATGATGGGAACGTTTGTGAACCACTAAGAATGTCCTCTGTGTGTTTTTCCTTTCTCTTTTGCAGTGTCCAATTGAGTGGTTCCACTTTGCGTGTGTGGACCTGACCACCAAACCAAAAGGGAAATGGTGAGTGTGGCAACATTCAGTTTTGGGATTTTTATCAGGCTGCAGTTTGCCTCAACAAGAATTAAAACCCTGTTGTGACCCTGACAGAGGAGTTTTGCTCCTCTCATCAGAGAGTTTGCATCCTCTCTGATTGGGGGTTATGTTTTAGGGTAGAAGATACAACACAAACCTTCTTGTTAAAATCCACTTCCACAGAAGTCTTAGGTGGGAGCAGAACTGCCTGATAAACAGAGCAGGTTTTGACCTGAGGCTTGTGTAAACATGGACATGTTACATCTGAGGTTTGCTCTGTTGTCAGTAGTTGTAGCTGTGCTTAAAACAGAGACAGGTACCTCTCTGTTTCACTTCTGGAGGTAAATTTTGAAGGCTTCTCAGGGTTTTACTATGTGCTTATCTTGGAAAGGATCTTGGGCTTGTTATTTTTATCTAATGGACTATTTTAATCAAATTAACAAATGACTTGTCAGAAACAGGCTTATTTGTGCACAGATATTAAAAGCAGTTCTCAGGCTCCGTGCTGTTAATTTCAGGGGCTAATTACTGCCTCTTTTTTCCTACAGGTTTTGTCCTCGTTGTGTTCAGGAAAGAAAGAAAAAGAAGTAAGGAGTAGAGAGGGATACACTGCCTAGGCAAGAAGAATTTAATATATTCCTTCATTCATGTTGCAATATTTCCTTTGATTATTTTTTGTTAATCTATCCTCCATCTTTTTCCGGTATGATATTTAATTATCCAGTGGCCAGTTGAAATTCCTGTTCTTTCCTAAGACTTTGGGAGGGAGTCCAAAATCCCTTTGCCACGGAGATTCTATTGATGTTAGTCTTGCACAATGATACTGAGGGAGGGTGTTGCCTTTTCTGGCTGTTTCCATTTCCCTGCAGATACTTTTAAGTACATCACTGTGAAGATGAAACCTACAGTATTCTTGGAGAGAGAGAGAGAAGGTCAGATTTATTCACAAAATAAGATGAAGGCCTGAATTGTTAGCTGTGATTGCCTGTGTGGCACATGGGTAAATCAGGAAATCGGGTTTTAGGGAAAGGCACCATGAAGACACTGTTTGTTCCCATGATGGTGTGGCTCTGCTGTTGAAGAAGGCCATTCAGAAATGTTCTAATGTAACTTCTTGTCTTTTTTTTTAATGGGCCACAAATTCTTGACTTCTCTAGCTGCCTTTCAGATGATGAATGTGAATCCTTGCATTAGCACAGTGTCAGTGGCTGCAGCAGAAGGGAGAGAGGAAATCAGGAGCTGGAAAGCAAAAGTCTGTTTTTTCCTTCTGGAGAGATAACAGTGGATGCAGAAGTTGAGGGAAGAGCAAAGTCTTGCCTTTGTATCTGTCTTCTGCATCATAAAGCTTACCTGCCTTCAAGGAAAGATGTAGTGGGGAAAGGTGTTCCAGGTTTCCATCCTGCTGGTGGAAGAAGGAAAAAAAAGCCCCAAAGTCATGAACTTTGCTGGCTCTGGTCCCTAGTGGGTGTTGGTGGCAGCTCTGTGCAGGGCTGTGTGCTGCTTTCCAATACCAGTGTGCAGGAGCTCTTGGTACAGACTGCTGGAAAGGCATAAAGAAACTCCCAGATAAACTTTTCTTCTGCTGAATAAACAGCACAGAAGATTAAAAACACTTCTACTCAGATTCTGGCACCTGCTTTCAAAAGAAAAATGGCTTTTCCTGTTACACTGAGCCTCTTACTCATGTTTTGCAATGAAGGAAAATAGAACACAGCTCCTGCCACCTCTCCTTCCCTTTGTGGGGCTTTGTGCCTGCTGCTGACACAGAAGAAACCTCTCAATTGTGATGCAGCTTTTCTGTGAACATTGATTTATGGCAGGGAAAAAGGATGGATTTTAGGAAAAAATCCCTGTATTCAGGGTCCTGTAATTTCCAGTGTGATGTTGCAGGTGTCTTTACTTCATTGCATCACTGGGAGTTGAAGTTCCCATAGTTCTGTGCATGAAAATGCACATTTGTCATTGCTGCCACAGAATGGCACATGGACAGCAGGCAGGGATATTAAAGCCAGAGTGCTGGATGGAAGGAGGAGGAACAGCACACAAACCTGGAGTAGAGCAAACCCTCTTCTCTTCTTCTTCCTGCCTCTTCATGAGAGCAAATTTGTGATACCTCATGAGCCAGCCTGGCATCCAGTCCCCAGAGGGTGGGAGCTGCTCCTCCTTCACCCACTGCACTGGTCTGAGCTGGAGCGTTGCTGTGTCCTGACAACCCATGTTGATGCTGTTCCAGGTTTTGTTTTCCCCTTCTACCCAATGGTTTTGTAGACAACTTTTCTTCCTGTTGTTCCTAAGGCTTTGTTAGTACTGGTATTTGATTTGAAACAATCTCAAATTTCCACTCTGGTGATCTTGCTGGAAACATGCCTTGAGGGAAGAGAGCAGGTCTGGGTGAGCCAGTGTGGAGCTGACTTCCCTCAGCTCCAAAATTCTGGTCAGGTAGGATAACAAAACACACTTTTAGAAGTACTTTTGGGGCTTTGAAGAGCGTTTTCCACTTGAACCAGCAAAGCAAAAAGGAAAACAAGCTCTGGAAGGTCCTCAAAAGGAAGGATAATTTGCTAGGAATGATGAATAGTGTGGGGTGCAACAGTCTCCTCTTCTTTACAACGTCTGTGATGTGTACAGCATCTGAGATCTGATACCAGCAATAAACTCTCCCACTGGGAACATGCCAGTTCAGGGCTTGGATGGGCTCAGGAGCATCTCCTGCCCTCTTACACCTGGTCATAGAGACTTTTTACAAATCTGTAGACAGAAATACCAGCAGCCTTCATTTTTGCATACTAAAGGATTTAAATCTTCTGACTTTTGAATGTACAGTGTTAAATGTTTCCTGGAGAGGGGTGATCCCTTAAGGAATGCCCTACTAAACATTGCCCAAAAGCCCTGCCAGGGGCCCAGCTTTACTGCAGCTCATCCAAACTGGTGGTCGAAACCAACTTTCACCCTTTTACCGAAACAAGGGGGGGGGGGGGGGAAACAAAATTAAGGAATGTAAAGTTAAAAAAAAAAATATATAAGAAATGTATATCTGTATTTTTGGATCTTGGAGATGTTGGATTATATTATAAATAAAGTATTTTTGGGAATAAATGTGTGAGGATGATGGGGGGGGGGGGGGGGGTGCGGTGCTGTTGCAACCTCCGGCCGCCAGGGGGCGCTGGCGCTTTGGGGTGAGGCGCGTCCCCGGCGCTTCCAGGCCCCGGAGCGTCCTTGGCATCTCCCGTTTTTTACCGGGATAATCCCGAATTCCCCGCGGTCACCCACGCTGCGAAGGGTGCCCGGTGCCGCGGTGGGAGCAGCGGTGCGCCTCCCCTCAGTGCTGAGCTCTCACCACGCTCGCGGGAAGGGGGGCAGCAGAGAAGGCCGCGGTTTTTCCCATGGCTTCTACGGTGCTGTGGCGCCGCGGGCCCGCCTGGCTGAGGAGCTGGAGCCGGGAGTCCCCGGCAGTGCCCCGGGCCCGGGGCTCCGCCGGCTGCCGGGAGGTGGTGCCGACCTGTGAGCGCTACGCGGTTCGGCGGCTGCCCTTCGCACGGCTGGAGGACGGCGATGTGGCATTCTTCGAGCGCCTCATGCCCGGCAGGGTCGTCACCGGCGAGGAGGAGGTGAAGGCGTTTAATGTGGACTGGCTGAAGTCGGTGCGAGGTAAACGAGCTGCTTGATGTGCTCTGTTGGTGAAACCTCCTTCTTGCTTCTGTTTATTACCGGGCCAACGAGATTGCCAAAGGAAATCTTATTTTTATTTATGGCGGATCACATCTGTACAAACCGTAGAGTTAGAAGGGACCCGTGAGGATCATCGAGTCGAATTCCTGGCCCTGTACAGACACCCCAACAATCCCACCTTGTGCCTGAGAGCATTGTCCAAATGTTCCTGGAGCTCTGGCAGCTTCGGGGCTGTGTCCATTCCCTGGGGAGCCTGGGCAGAGCCCGACCGCCCTCTGGAGGAAGAATCTTCCCGTGATATCCAGCCTAACCCTTTCCTGACGCAGCTCCAGCTGTCCCTCGGGTCACCAGAGACCGGATGAGTGCCTGCCCATCCAAAATGAGTTTTTCTCATAAAATTATTCCTTTAAGAATTAACAAATACCTGGTAAACTTACAGGCTTTCATAAAAAAAAAAAAATCGAAACCCTCTAACTTAATAATTAATTTTTTTCCTGAGACAAGTTAATTCAGCTAACAGTTTTGATTGAACTTCAGAAAAGAATATGAAAGCTTTTGAAAGCCTTGACTGCAGCCTTCCAGTACCTTAAAGGGGCTTATAGAAAGGAGGGAGAGAGACTTTTATATGGGCCTGGAGTGACAGGACAAGGGGAAATGGCTGCACACCGCCAGAGGGCAGGGATAAATGGGATATTGGGAAGAAATTGTTCCCTGTGAGGAAGGTGAGGCCCTGGCATAGGTTGGCCAGAGAAGCTGTGGCTGCCCCATCCCTGGAAGTGCCCAAGGACAGGCTGGACAGGGCTTGGAGCAACCTGGGATAGTGGAAGGTGTCCCTGCCCATGGTTTTAGGTCCCTCCCAACCCAAATCATCCTGTAATTCTAAATCATGCACTGTGAATTCTATGTTGCTTCTGTCAAAAGTTTTGTGAGAATTCAAACCATTTCCCATTGCCCCCAGTGGCAGCCATGTCTACCTATACATGCAAAGTTTTTGCAGGGCTTAAAGAGAAAGGCTGCTATTGAAATGTTTGTTGTCAGAGTGGTTGAGGTACTTAACAGTGGAGGGAGCATTGTTATTTCCCACCTCATGCTTTCCCACCTGTTTCTTTCTGACCTCTGCAGAGCCACAGCCTTCCTTGAGAGTCCCTTGCTTTCATTGCAGGCTGCAGCCAGCTGGTACTGAAACCACAGACTACAGCAGAGGTGTCTCAGGTTCTCAGGTAACGTGCACCTTTTCTGCTGGGCTTGGTGCTGAGGAGACTTGGGTCAAGTCAGGGGTGATCCAGTGTGTGAAGGGCAGTTGTAGGTGTTTAGACACCAATTCCTTAAGCATTGGCGTTGCTGAGGCAGTTTTCTTCATGACTTCTGTTCTGATAAACAGCTAGAATTAGGTATTGTACGGGTGCTCAGGAAAGAGAAGTTTTGTGAAAGATTCAGGAGGGTCTGTTTGAAAAGGTAAAGAAGGTTAGGGCAGAACTGGGCAGTTTGGGGATCTGTTTTATCCACACTGGTGTGGTTGGGCAGTGGTGTGTCAGATTACTGTTTGGCTGAGGAGCTGAAAGCTGCAGGAACATGCTCCTAGCTCTGTTAAAACAGGGGTGCAGAGCACAGGAAAGGCAGGCAGGGCTCCTGGAGGAGCTCTGGGGCTCTGTGCCATCCCTTGCACAGGAGCTGCTGTGCTGCTCAGAGAGGATGTGGTGGGTGGTGCTTGGCAAGGATGTGGCAGGTGGAGCAGCTGAGGCACAGGTGCACATTTTATTTCCTACAGGGCATTAATTTCTTGGGAGGAGGAGGGCAGTCATGTCTGAAACCACTGCCAGAGGCTGGCTGTCAGAGCCCACTAAGGAGCCCAAGCTGTTAACACAGACTGCTGCAGAAACAGCTTCTGTAGAAACATAAGCAGTGCTTTGCAGACAGATGATGTGTGCCAGATGTGTAGATACACATGGGGCTAACCCCAGGTGTTGGTTCTTTGCTCAGCACTGGACTGAGTTCAGACAGGAGTTGCACTTTCTCACTTTGTCATTGAAATTGTCTCTTTCCACCAATTCAGTCTTTCGGTGAAATGCTGCTTAGTTTTAAGGAGCACTGTCACAACAGTCGACATTCATGTAGAGGTGAATCTTCTCTGACAGACTGATTATGGCTTTTAAATGCATAAAAATTCAGAACCCTTTTTCTTTCCAGGTACTGCCATGAGAAGAACCTGGCAGTGAACCCTCAGGGGGGGAACACAGGCCTTGTTGGGGGCAGCGTTCCTGTCTTTGACGAGATCATTCTCTCCACTGCTCTTATGAACAGGATCATCAGCTTTGACAAGGTGTCTGGTAAATATTCCAGGGATGTGAAGCACAGAAATGAGCCCCAGACCTCAAAACAGGCATTTTCCTGGGAACAAATAGCAGCAGGATCAGCAGGGTTCAGCTCAGCAGCATCATAAGGAGGTTTGTGTGGGTTTGGGGGGTTAGGGGTCAGGCTGATATGAGTATCTCTGTTCAGAGAGGGAGCACAACAGAGAGACAGAGACACAATGTGATTGTGTTTTACCAGTCCAGAGTTGTGGATGACAAGATATTGAGGCAATAGCAAAGCTCCCTGGGGCTTGAAGAGAGGGCAGTTCCCTGGAGCATGCACAGAGTTGTGCATTTAAGCTGAATCTCAGAAAGTTTTGAAGGAAGAGATGGTTGCATCTGCTCATACTGCTCCTGCTTCTTGAGGAGGCACCTTCTTCTCAGCCATCAGCTTTTAGCAGGGTTTTTGTGTTCCAGGAATCCTTGTGTGCCAAGCAGGCTGTGTGTTGGAAAGGCTCAATGAGTACTTGGAGGAGCAGGGGTTTGTCATGCCACTCGACCTGGGAGCCAAAGGCAGCTGTCACATCGGGGGGAACGTGGCCACCAATGCTGGAGGCTTGCGGCTCTTGCGATACGGCTCTCTGCGAGGGACGGTGCTGGGCCTGGAAGTGGTAAGGCGAGTACCTGGCAGTCCCCTTCTCTGTTTAGTCTTCTGCAGCTTAATGCTTCCTGTTCTTCTAACTATCCAGTGCACAGCTAAATTCCTTTCCAGGCTTCCACTCTTACCTTTTCCTTGTTGGGCTCTTTTGAGAAGGGTCAACATGTCTTAATGTGTTGTAACATGTTATTGCTGCTGCTGTTTCCAGCGTCCTGGCTTCCAGTGCTTGCTGACAGAGGTGGTGTTAGGTGGTTTCCTAATCCAGACAAGTAAAAAGAAGGTAGGGAGAGGTCAGGGGATCCCAGGTTATCTGCATGGAGTTGGTTCCTCTGAGCAATGGGTCTCTGGAGCACTCTGGCAAATCCATCCTGCATTACTCTCTTCTGGTGGCTACTCACTCAGATTTTAATAGAATTGTAGGATCACAAACTGGTTTGTGTTGGACAGGACTTTAAAGATTATCTTAAGGTTTCAAACCCACGCCGTAACAAGCTGTCTGCTTTGGGTTCATTTGGCTACTGGCTGTGTCCTAGAGTCTCTGCTGTTCCTCAGTTGCTCCTGTCCTACAGGCGAGTGCCTTGGGATGTAAAGGCTAGATTAGGAGTTCTGAAAGTTTTCATGGCTGGGGACAAAATTTGTGCAGGGAACAAAAGCATGGCTTGGTTCTACTGTGTAGGCTGAGAAAGGAGAGCATTTCTCTCAGGTCAGTTTGTCTGTAATGTCAAAATAGCCTTTAATAACCTGTCTTGGAGATGCTCAGCCTTAAATTAAGGCTCAAGTGGCAGAAGGTTTTCTTCAATCCTGCTTAACTGTTCACTGTTTCACACAGCTTTCCTTGTTTCTGCTGGATAGTGGGAGCTAGGGTTGCAGAGAATGGCTGGTCTTCTCCACCATTAGTAAGAAAAGCAGAGCGAACTGTGTCTTCTGTTATTACTTGTCCTGATTGAAGGAGAGAAATAGGAGGGAAATACCTACTCTATCCTACTCAGGTAGGATATAGAGCAAGAAATTAATTGGGAATGGAGGAGCAATGTGGGGATGGGCTGCAGCTGTGTTAAAGTGACACTTCCCATCATTGGTCATAGGCAAGTTCATGCCAGCAGATTCCTACCCAGGTGCTCTGACTGGGTCCCTGTGTTCCCACAGGTGCTGGCTGATGGCTCAGCTCTGGACTGTCTGACCTCTCTGCGCAAAGATAACACGGGCTATGACCTGAAGCAGCTCTTCATCGGATCTGAGGGGACCTTGGGAGTTATCACTGCTGTCTCCATTCTCTGTCCTCAGAAGCCTAAGGCTGTGAATGTGGCATTCCTAGGTAGAAGCTGATATTAATGATTTCACACCTGAATTCAGAGGCTGGGAATAGGAATAGAGATGCTTGCACTGGACTTCCAGCATCAGCTGGTGTCTGGGAAATAGCATATGCCTCTATGCTAAAATACCTGTGCAGATATTTAATATCTGTTGGAATACC